CAGAATAAGTTTCTATAGAGATGGAGCTCACACACCTTAAAAAAGAAGTGGCTCATGTTTGGCTCGTACGTACTTCCCAATATGAATTTGAGTAGTGTCGTATCTTTTTCTTTCTCTAGGAATCAAAAGCTTCAAAAAGACTTAATTCAAGGCTTGGGCTGTTTTGAAAAGTTACCTTCTCTCCAAAGATTTCTTACGAATATAATTCTCGTCAAACTGCAGTATATAAATGAGGACAACATCTCCAGTAATAGATTTAGGCCCGAGGTCGATAATATAGTAACTGTTGTGGTAATTACGGAAAAGTCTGTTGCCCTAACAACTCTGTCTGAAGAGTCGTAATGTGTTGGCGGTGATTGATTTGATGATGAGGCCAATCGTTTCTCATCATAAGATCCGAGGCCGTTTGAAGCAACTCATCGGGCTGCCATAGGAAGGCAGAGTTGGTAGTATTATGGGCTCCTACAGGAGGATTCTCAGAAGGAACCACACTAAATGAAGGCCTCACTCGAGGATGGGCAGCACATGAATTGGGAGTGGGGAAAAACAAACTGGAAATGGCCTCAAAAGGGGTGGCATTACTACTATTTGGGATTATGGGGAGGCCACCCATGTGATCCGATCCGTCGTTCACCTGGTGGAAAGAGAAGTTGCAAGAGCTGGACGACATGTCGGAACTTTCAATTGGTTTTGTTGATGTTGCTGTTGTTGCAGTAGTATTGTTAGGAACTACTTCAATGGGGGAAGCTTTATTTTCGTGGTTTTTTTGATCATTCGATTGGATAGTGTTGTTATTGTCGTTGTCGATTTGTAGGTTGGAGAGAGGCTTGTGAGTGTTGGGATCGATGCCTTTTTGCTTCAGCTTCTTTTTAATGCACGAGTTCCATAAGTTCTTTATCTCATTGTCTGTTCTTCCCGGCAGCTGAACTGCTATTTGAGACCATCTATACAGAAAATATATTAAGACAAGTAAAAAAAAGGCTAAGCCTGATTGCAGTTCGACGTAATTCAATGACAGTTAAGAATTGTTCCTCATCGTATATCTACGATGACGGTTCTACAACAACCGTATGTATATATGATACGATGACGGTTACGCCGATCTAACCTGTTGCCTAGGACTGAATGGAGTTCAATGATTAAGTCTTCTTCTTGTTGGGAGAAGGGACCTCTCTTCAAATCTGGTCTAAGGTAATTGATCCATCTGAGTCTGCAACTTTTGCCACACCTTTGCAAGCCTGTGGATCCAAAAGGGTCATAGGTTTAAAAACTCAAAATTCTCTCTCTCTTCAATTAAAGTGGGAAAAAGACGATCGACACCGGTAATTGATGGAATTACAAATGTGCCGTTAGAGAGAAGAAGAGGCCGAGAGGGGTATACCTGCAAGTTTAGGGACAGAACTCCAGCAGCCATGGCCATGTTTAGTGATGTAATTAAGGAGCTTCTCATCTTCTTCAGGAGACCAAAGCCCTTTCCTCAGCTTCTGCTTGTAACAGCAAGAGTGCCTTCCCATATCTCTCCCAAACCCAAACCCAAACCCAAAAAACTTGTACCTAATTTTTTGTGCCAAATTAAAAAAATATATGTGTCTTAGCAAATAGGGGGAAGTTTTTTATAATAATTGAGATATTTAGGATGTAATTTTGTTTGGGATTATCAGAGGAGAGAGAGAGAGGACAGGGTGGGAAATATAAATTAATAAGAAGCTAAGTTTCAATTGGAAATGTCACACTCAAAAAGAAGTGAAGGACAGATACAATCACAAGTTAGAGGTCAGCATTTTTTAATTATTGTTTTAGATATAAATAAAATAAAAAAAAATATTTTTATAAAGACAAAATGTGCAGTGTAGGGATCTTTTTCTCTCCTAGAATATTATCTGATAATTAAATTACAAATTACAAATTTAGTTCATTAACTTTCAGAGTTGTGTTTCAAGACTTAAATTTTTTTTTTTTAATACAACATGTTAAGAGGTATATGTCAATTATCGTTGAGTTATGCTTGCTTTAGCAGTTCAAGACTTAAGTTATGGAAGAATTTCTAGCGTAATGCAGAAAACTTTCTATTATACTTCAATTCGGTACCATCATATCTATATAAATATCATTTAAGAATAGTTCATATATAAGCTGATTACGTGTTGAAGTGTGAATGGCGAGAGCGGTGGAATTAGATTTTTTTTTTCTTTTTTTAAAATTTTATGGGTTAGCATTAATTTGGGGGGTTGAGAATAGTACAATTGTAACCCTACATAGACTAGGAAGGAAAATATCCACATTTGAGAATGATGGGGAGTATTCTTCCTTAAAGTGAAGAGATGAATTTTATATATCAAATCAACTAATAACTTTTACAAACCATCTGGTGTGAGATTTTATATTAACAAAAAATAGATGAAATTTTGGGTCAAATTAAACTTTTACCTTTTTTGTTTAAGTTTCAATTAAGCAAAATTTCCTCATAATTAGTTCCCAAAATAGGAAAAAAAAAGTTTTTACAATTTGAAAAGAGGAGATTTTGTATTTAACAAAATAGAGAGAGATTAGCACTAGGTCATGTTTGTCAAATGTCTTAAATAGCCATCAATCATGTTTTTTTGGTAACATGTGGCAATAGGTCAATACGCTTCAGATATCGTGCGACTACAACACACCAGTCGATAGAGACGCCTTGTAACTTAACTAGTAGTCTCATCTGTTTAGGCTACATTCAAGATTATAGTTTCTCATCTTATCTAACTAAGTCACGAATTCGCACCTAATAACTTTATAGTCTCAACTTCCGTGATTTACCTAATTATTCAAGTGACATTTAGTTTCATCTAGTTAAGGTAGGACCCACTCAATAGCACAAGGTCAGTCTCGCTCCAACTACAACACACTAGTCGATAGGATTTTTATATATTATTTTCAATTTAAGATCAGGTATACGGATACACATTAAATTATTAGGTAGAATAATACTTTTATGAATAAGGTCAAAGGTGTGGGGAAAGCTAACATCTAAAAATAATAAACTATGAACTATTTTTATGTACATACACAAAAACGACACCGACAATGATGTAGGAGTAGCTGCCATTCATATAATTTATATATGATTTTAGCAGCCATGTCCATGTTCACATAAATATTTTTATTCAATTTATTTTACAATCCTATCATTCTCCAAGAATTTCATTTTTAAAAAACATAAATTCATATCTCTTCGACCAAAATGATAAAAAGTTTAAAGCTCCAATCCAATATGTTGTTGAAATTAAAAAAAAAGTTATTTTATAAATATGACTGCTAAATCTGATAACTATTTTTTGCAGGGAAAAACCAAAAGACTTACCAACTTTACAAATAGACTATCTCGAGATCGAAAAAAAAAAACCTTACAAATAAACCTCTACTTAAAATTTTAATTATTTTGATCTCAAATTTAGTTCGATTTGATCCTATAACTTTACTTTAGTTTTAATTTTGGTCTCTAAAATAAATAAAAAAAATCAATTTAATGATAAATGATGCAAAAAGGCATCTTTTCAAATATTTTTGAAGAACATGTGGGATTATGTCTCCCTTTCATTTCAAATCACTTTATTTATTTGTTATTAAATCATCATCACTTATCCTTATATCCTTTTGCCTACCTGCTCATTTGGTGGCTTACTATTAAATATTAATGCCTCTTGCTATTTTGCTTCTATAACTCTTCTTAAAATTACTAATTTAGTCTTATGAAAAATTTAAGTGAAATCACTTAATTTAAAAAATTTAAGAGACAAATTAGAAGCCAATTACTCTCATCTTCCCTTTTTGCCTCAAGATTTTATTATTATTTTTTCCTTATAGAAAGATAACCCTAACAAAAATTACTAAAATTTGATTCAAGCCTTTAAAACAATTTAGAGACAATATTTCTCTCCTCCAATCTAAACAAAAATTCTTTATGCCGCTTTTTAAATACTATTTTGATCCATGTATTTTAATTTTAGCTTTGTTTCTTCTAATCTTGTGACTTTCAACTTTAATTCATTTTAGTTTCTATATTTACAAATATTTATTTTCGTCACTGTGGTTTTTTAAAAGTGACTATATATTTTGCTCTCTTAATTTTATTTTTAGTCTCATTTTTTATATCACAACTTCAACGTAATATTAAACTCAATATGTTTCTTAAAATGTAACCATGATTTTATATTAAAGGGATTTCGTAGAATTTGTGTTAACATTGACCCAAAATAGTAATTTTTCTGAAGTAATGGGAATTAAGCAAGCATTTTTAAAGTATATAAACTAAAATTGAAAATTAAAAGTACAGAAACTAAAATAACATGTTAAAATTACAGAAACGAAAATAAACTTGAAAGTATTGAGACAAAAATAGTATTTTAACATTTTCTTTCTTTTTTTTAGTATCATTCCTTGAATCGTTGCTTTCCACAACCATAAGAGGACAAAGTAATATGCAAAATTAGTTCAATTCTTACTTGCATGATAAGAAACAATCAATAATAGATAAATCAAACTCAAAATAATTGCAAGATTTCCTTAGGTGTTAATGAATCATTCCCTTGAGTAATATTTTGTGAAAATGAAGTAAGTTACAATGAATCTCTTCAATGTTCACAATTATTATGCGTTATTGTCTCGACTTTATGTGATTTTATGTGTTGGTTTCGTTCAAAAGAACTCGTGATCATATATTTTATAATAATTAAAATAATATACAATTGTGATCTCTGGTCAAGAACTCAAAAAGGAGGTAGGTTATAAATTTATATATGTAACAATAACATATTAATTTGTTGGAATATAGTTTTTTGAGCATTAAAAGCTAATCTTTGCAGCCTAGACAAAAATAGATAAAGTAATTAAAGATATTATAATAAAAGGCATGTTGTTGTAATATCTTTTGTTATGCCAAAAATGACAACAAATCAATCAATTTCAAAATGTGCTTAATTAACTCTTTTCATGGATTAGCTACCATAAGGTATATCATTAGGTTAAGCTATAAAAATATAAGTTTGATGTTGAGTTTTATTTGGTCAAATTTAAAAAGTTTGAATTACATCCATGAGTTTTCAAATTTTGATTTTAACAAATTATCTCATCAACATCATTAAATTTTGGCATGATGCAATGATTAAATTAATGAATTATGATTGCAAGTAGGTGAGTTAAATAAAGTACGTTAAAATACTAGTTTGGTTGCACTTTCAGTTCTGGTTTATTTTGGTCTCTGTACTTCTAAAATTTTCATTTTAGTTCATGTACTTTAAAATGTTAATTTTAGTCCTCATACTTAAAAAAATGTGATCATTTTGGTCTCTTAATTTTATTTTTAATCTCATTTTTCTATTACAACTTCAACAAGATAATATACTCAATATATTTTTTCAAAATGTAACCATGGTTTTATATTAAAGGATTTTCATTATGTTGAGAATTTGTGTTAAAATTTTGAAAATAAGGATCCAAATGATCACTTTTTAAAAGTACAACGATAAAAATGAACCTTCTGAGAGTAGAGAGACCAAAATGAATCAAAATTGAAAATACAAGAGATCAAAAAGTAAACATTTTACAAGTACATGGACTAAAATGAATCAAAACTAAAACTACAGGGACCCACTAGTATTTTAACCAATTAAATAAATGCGAATAGGAAAAATGTCTTTTATATCATTGAAAGTGAAAGGGAGATTGTTGATACGTTCTGCATCAGACCATATTTGTGTCATATTCTAACAAATAATCATAATCTCATTAGAATCAAAATCAAAAGTTTAGAAACCTAAGTAAATAGATATAATGTTCGAGGGCTAAATTTGTAGTTCGACTCGAGAATCCATATGAGGTTGGGCAAAGGCAGAAGGGATGAGGTGAGTGGTGACTAGGGTAGCCCTAGATGGTACTAGAAGTTTGTGGGGGAACATTTCACATTGTTTTGCTTTTTGCCTAGACTTGAGTAGCTAGAAGGATGTGTCCTTTGATTTGACCTTAATATATCTAATCCCAAATGGGCCATAATTAACACTAGTTTTAGTTGGGAAACATAAGCACATGCATTTCTCCTATCTATTCCATAAATCACCACCAAATCATCTTGTCAATGTATGTACCTTACCCAATCAAGAGGATCTTTATGTTACATAAACAAGATTCATTCAACTTTTAAATGATTGTATTTGTCCTAACTTTAACATCTTCAATTTAATACTTTTATATGATATTAAGCTTGGGGTTATCTATTTATTGTATTGGATCGTGTGAATTGAAATGAGTATTTGGATTTGCATATTGAAGATGTTAACGAATCAAAAGACTATTTTTGGTCATGAAAATTTAACAATTTGGGTAAGTTGAAATTTTGTTATAGTTCTTCAGCTTTCAAAATGCATACTCTAATCTTTTTAACTTTTAAAATATTTATTTTAGTTTTGAACTTTTAATAAAGAATTTAAAGAAATAAAAGACATTTAACCTTTGCAATTATATTATAATCATCTATTTTCTAGTAATTCTATATTACATACCCTTGAGTTCATGTGAGGTTGGAAATTTGAACCTTTGATCTTTTGATCTATAATATATGTTTTGTATTAAACAGTTTAACTATGTCATATACTTATGTTAGCGTGTTAATATACATATTCAAAACCATGTTATCCATAATTAAACAATTGGCCATAAAATTACAACAAGAATCAAAATGATTTATTTTCTTTAAAATTCTTTTATTTTTTCTTTTCCAAACAATCAATTCATTAAGTAGTTGAAGAAACACAGAGGCCTAGTCCCTGTTTAGCTAGTTGGTGGGCCATCTGGTTTTCATCTTGCAAAAAACTAATAACAAAAGAATGAGAAAAAACAATTAAGCACTTAATGCTAAAAAATGCTTGGCCACCACATTTCTCTCACTCCAAATGTCATATATTAAATTAGACCTTTTGAACCGAAAGTTTATAAATTAAAATAGACATTTTAAAAGTTTACGAACCAAATCAGAATAGTCGTAAAACTAAGTTCAAACGAGATCTCCATCTCAATGAGATCCTCCACTTTGGTTGGTTGGTCGATCTTCCTCTCTCCGAATTGAAATTTTGATCATCTTCGTTATACTTACTCGTTCGAAAGATCGCCCGCTTCCTTGAACCTTTCATCTCTCCACGTCACTCTTAGGGATTTGAATGAATTATCAGTGACCAAAATAAGATCCAAACCTATTCCAATGCCATAACTAGCCACACTTTCAAACAGTGACTTGTCACTTTTGGGACTATTCAAATAATAACCCAAAGCAAACATAAAAACAACACAAAAAAAGGGGTTATCAAATCATGGTGAAAAGGGTCAAGAGTGATGAACTATGAAAAGTATGTCTGGTTGAAAAATGAAAAGGAAAAAAAAAGGGTCATTCTTGAATTTCCCTCTTGCTTTTCCATTTGCTGTGTTGTGGGACTGCCAAAAGATATTCAGCTTTATTGCCTTCTCCACATCAATTACTCTAATTGGGGAAGAGCTTATGTTACTGAATGTTGCCCACTTCCCATATGAAACGAGTTCAACTTCTATTTCCATATGCTCAAACTAGATTTACAAAACTTACTCTTTTCCCCCCACTTATTCTATTTTTTATCTTTTTTTTTTAATCTGTAAGTGTTCGGGTCAGTTTGTGCACACCTCAACTAATCTCACGGGAAAAACACATAGGAATTCTATCTTTACCTTTCTATTTTTTACTTTTTTTTTTATAAATAAATTGTGATGGTGATATCCTACTTTTCCTATTTGTTTAATTTTTTTTTCCAAAGATTGTGATTGAGATGTAAAGGAAAAAAGAAGCGAAGAGACTCCATTTCTCCCTAATTTGTGCAAGGTTTAGTTGGGGCAAAATTGAAAGACTTTTTATTGGGTTAAATCCCATTTTTTGCTCTAGATTATTTCACTTTGAACTTTTAAAGATGTATAATTTAGTTCAAAGTTGACTGAACTAGATACTAGATCCACTATAAGGTTTTCTTAGAGCATTATGTGCCATAGATAAAGAAAACTTAAATATCATATCATCCATCTGTTAAATAATTTACTAGAAAATAGCAACCATAACAAATAATGATATTTATTTTAAAGTTCAAAGACATTACAAAATAAATAAAAAAATGGGAGGGAAATGTTACTTCCTCCAAAATTATTTAGTGTGGGACCTAAATGATTCTTGATTTGTGATTTATGCTAAAAACAAGATAGAATAATTAATAATTATCTTTTTAAAATTATCTCATTCTCATTCTTTTATGAGTAAACACATAGAAAGAGTACACTAACCTATAAGATATGGTGCCAAAGAAAATTATTAGAGTTCAATAATTTGGATAAATGAGCATCAATCAAGAATTTAATCTTTCAACTAGCAACCCACCAAAGAAAAAAAATAGTGGAATCAGCATTTTATTACTAGTCCAAAATTTAACGGTGGTCAATAAATAGCAACTAGTCAACATTATTTGAAAAAATAAACCTACCTACATATACATGTACAAATAAACCAAAGTAATCAATACATTATTTTAACCCTCACCCAACATGGGAAGTGTGTATTTTAACACACTCATGTCGGGTAGGAAAAGAGATGGGAAGAAGAAAAAGTTTGGGTATACTCATTCGCTATCAATGGGTAAAAAGTTTGAGATCATCAATAATTTCATCTTACGATCAATTTCAATATGCTTTATTCATCAAATAAATACTCAATCTTAAAAATATGCAAAAATGACTTGATTATAACAAAACATAGACACAAAGATCAAGTTAAACAACTATTACATAAGTGTGCCTAGGGGAAAAGTATAGCTCAAGTGGGTCTTAGCTCAACCAAGTGAGATCTAATGGGTTATAGTTCAAATGAGATGAGAACCAACTCACCTAGCTTGTCTTAGGTCAAATGAGAGGTAGGTGTAATCGAATCAAGTGAAACAAAGGTCATGCATCCCAATAACTAGGTAAGACCAACGCTATCGGGTAACTCGCAATCCCAAACCAGATGAGACGAGAAGGCACTAGCCCATCTAGTGAGACAAGGTAGCTCTAGCTCATATCTCAACACTTTAAACAAACCTAGTCAAGACACAAGGATTGAGAACATCTTGTCAAAGATCATACGACTTTGTAAAATTATTTTGCTCGTGGATTAAACTTAGCTTCACGAATAGAGTGCGGAAAGCAAAAACACAAACAACTAAAAACTCATAAAAAATAAAAAACATAATTAACCTTGAGACTTAAAAAGAGTATTAACATATCATTTCAAAGTTAGGGTGATGACTGTATTAACCAGTTCTCAATACTCACTTTGTCAACGTAGTTCAACTGTAAAGACATCAACTTTTTTCCTTAAAGTCAAAGGTTAAAACCTCTACGCTAAAAAAATTCTCATGTTTATCTTTCCTCACAAAATTCTACTTATGACACTCGACCCACAAGGGAATTGATGGACCACTCATTTTCAGCTAAATTACTAATATACTTCAGGCACATTATTTAAACAAAATATCTTCATGACCTTGTTAAACAATATTTCAACTAGTGAAAATATCTAATAAGTTAGAAAATGTCTATAACCAATTGGAGATGTTTTATGTAACTCCCTAGATTAGATTTCCCCTTTTTATAATTCCATCCGGTAATGAAATTGTTTCTTTTTCAAAAAGGACAAAAAGAAAAAATTCTATAACCTGTGATGAGTCAAAATGTTGTTCCCAAATGTCATAATGTGTACAGATAAAATAGGAAAAGGGAAATCATTGTTAGAGACAAATTGCATAGTTAATAAACAGATAACATGGGCCCTTGTTTTCAAGGTTTTAATTGATGCTAAAGAAATATGAATAATGCTAGACTCCAAAACAACCCATGTTATGCAAAGTATTAAGGTCACAAAGGCACAATTATTATCAACCAAACTAGGATTTGGTATCGTTAATTGAAATTTCATACATGACATAAAAGTGTAGGCTGCAGAGGTTACTTTATTTTTCTTTTTTTTTTCTTAATTCTATGGTTGTCTAGGATCGCTTACGTACATCTCGACCAATCTCACAAAACAACCAATTGACCCTACAACATTTGATTGTCAAAAAACTAATAGGATTTTAATATCCTAAGTAGGTAGCCACCCTGAAGTTGAACACATACGTCTCTTTTACTTTTTCCACAAGCCCTAATGCAATAGGTCACCCAGAGTGAGCACTCACTAAAATAAGGTTAAGCTTGAACTACTTTAGAATGCTACTATTCAAATGAAGGTTATCAATAAAAGGCACGACTACTTGTCTATGATTAGGTAATGTGACATATTTATAAATGGAAGGTTCAAGAGATAAGAAATGGGATGGACAAAAACTTATATGATTGGTTACACTAAATGAGTGATCCACCAATTTTGAGACTAAGTTATAAATCGATAGCCATGAACCTAGCTAGCTACCATACCACATCAAATGAAGGTTCCACAACCATTATTCCCTTATAGAAGGATTCAAGTGAGTGTCTCATGTTATTGGAGATATTATAATACACAATTCTCACATTAACTCGTAATCTAGTTGTGAAGCTCGTAGAGTAACAATGGTTGAACCAACCACTAATTTAGGAAGTTCTTTTTTTTTCTTTTTCTTTGATATTCTACGCCATCCTGCATGTATCGAGACAACCATCTAGCTCTACTACTTTTGATTTCCAAGATAACTCGTAAGATGTTAGATCCTAAATAGATAGTTACCATAGTTTGAACTAATTCCCTTTAAGTCCTTTACTATTCACATTAGCTCTTGTTGACCACTAGGCCAACCAATGATGATTGATTTTGCAAGCTTTTGGTCCAAAAGGGAGAAATTGGTATCAGCTCTACAAATCTTTAACCCTATTGCTTATTGCTCGAGGCTGATTCCCTTGCTAAATTTGCAAGTCTACCTACATATTTCAACCCAGCTAAAGGAGGGGGGAAGATTATGAAATTATAGCATACATGCAAGATTTTGTTTCAGTTGCACACAATTTTGGGAACTATAAGCCTGACCACCTACCTTAATACTTACAATATCCACAAAATGGTTCAACATAAAACTCCTCTGAAGAAGATGGAGAATGGGAGAGATTTATTTGCCATCATTTAGTCTTGTCTACTTACAAATGTTCCATCATATTCAGCCTCGAGGCAGTTGCATTATGCCTGCACGGATAGTTGATCAATCAAACCAAATTCTATTGAAAGATCATGCGGCCCAGTCTCTCCTCCTCCCAATGGTAGCAAAAATTACGAATTTGCAAGCATCAGGACCTGATTAGACTTAAAAAAACTCAAAGGTTCATCTTCAACGCCTCTCCAAGTCGAACGCCTCTCCAAGTCGAAAGCAGGATCTCCTGCTCATTCATGTATATTCGCTGATATCAAGTAGAGATTATGAACAAGCAGAAGCAAAGTGTCAACGCCATGGCAAGGTTTTTCTCCTCAAGGTATAGAGTCAATATCCCTAATGTGGTTTATCCAGTTATGATCTGCATAAAACAGAGAGAATTAAATAGCACATTCCCGGATCATTAAGTGCCCATTTGGTAACTTTCCTAAATCTTGTTTCTTTTTTCTTGTTTCTCATTTCCTATTTCTTGTTTTCTCTTTTTTAAGAAAGAAAAAAAATGATTGCATTTGGTAAATTTTTCTTGTTCCTTGATCTTTCTTTCTTATTAAAAAATGAATAAAAATACATTTGGTAACTTGTTCTCTCAGATATTACATTTAAAAAACAGTTAAACAGTAAATTTTAAAACAAAATATTTAAAAAAACATCTACGTTATGTTTAATTTTTGTAATAGTCCATGTAGAATTGAGAATAAGAAATAAGAAACTTAAGAAATAAGAAACTAGTTTTATTGTTTCTATAATTTGTATACAATTTTAAAAACATTTTTTGGAAATGAGAAACAGGAACAGAAACCATTACCAATCGATTAAGTTTCTCCAAAACTGAAAATAAAAAACAAGAAATAGAAATATTACCAATTTTACTGTGTGAAATGAAGAACCAAACTTAGTTACTGTGTAAAATGAAGAACCAAACTGCAAAAAGTTCACACACAGGCAACTTAGTTAGGTATAACGTCGCTTTTGCTGGTGGGGTTAACAGCCCTGTCGTTAACACCGGACGCCTGTTCATTAGCCTGCAATAAAGAACATGTTTCATAGGAATCAAATCTTGCATTCAGAACAGAAACTATAAGTGGAAGGCAAGATAATCTTAATCTTTTTCTTCATTGTATCAGTTCCGAACAGAAAATTGGCAAGTTCTGCATATTTTGTCTAATATCCTACACATCTAATAATAACTGGGAACAGGTTCCAGCATCAATCAGGTAGATAGTAAAATTTCTTTCTTTTTTTTTTTTAAGTGTGAAGAGAAGTCATTTAAAACTCCCCAAATAATAATTCACAGAAATAGCAACAAAATGATTTAATATTTCCACGAAAGCTGAATGACAGAGGGAAAGAGAGAGAGGGACTCCTGGAGTATTCGCATTTGGTTCCACTAAAGGTGAGGAAAAAGTCGTGTAATATTTTGAAGGATGAAGATAGAAATTTTTTTTTCCTCTTTTTTTTTGAAGTTTGGTTTAAGATTCAATTTGGTCTTTTAAGTTTCGGTTTTCTGCAGATTAAGGTGTATTTCTTGGAAAATGGGTTTAATCTTTTGATCTTGAACGCTGTTTTCGTGCTTCTTGTTATTGTCACTATAATAATAAATAATGATTAAAAAAACAAAAACAAAACACATAGAATTGATACCAGAAATTATTAAAGAGGGACAAATAGAATCCTAACTCAAACATTATGGAACAGAAATAATATGTCTATAACAAAATAAAAGGTTGAAAATAGAAAACTATAAGACAAATCCTTCATGCTCATTCTATGCAGATCGTCAAAGTTTTCTTCAGTTCTGAAGCTTCATGGATAAATAACAAAACCAAGAAGTGTTTATACGATAAAAACCTCATCCCACCTCTAAAACACAACTCGGTTCCTGGATAAAACTAAGTGAAATAAAACTTCCTTTCTAAAATAAGAAGTCTACAAACCTGTCTAGGAGCTGGAGTTATTGACGTCTCGGTGCCACCATTTGGCAGCATAGGTGAGTTAATGTTCTGAGATGCATCTTTTGAGCTACAAGCTGCAGCTGAACCCGTATTCTCCATAGGAGCCACTGCCATGCCGGAACTAGTCATAAAAGGCCTTCCAGAAAATGGAGGGATCGGTCCACGTGGCATTGGCATTGGCATGGGAAGTCCTTGACTTGGAATCCCAAGGACCTGAAAGTTAGAACCTGCCATTCCATGCATTACAGTTTGACCTGGTATAGATGGGCTTGGGAAATGAGTTCCTTGAATGTGAGGCACTTGAACGATGGGATAACCAGGAGAACCACCATTCATGTCAGGTATACCTATCCCAAATCCCATTCCCATTCCTACACCCATGGGTGAATAAATATGTGGTGCATTCATGGGTTGCATTCCTCCAGGGAACATCATGGGAGGCATGAATAAACCAGCTCCCATTGACATAATCTGCAAAATTTGTGAAATACTTGGGTAGGTTACCTGAATGTTCGAAACAATGACACCTTCCAAATTGGGGGGAGAAATACATTTTTTCTGCCTCAGGGAACAGAGCATCACCTGAACCTGAAGTTGAAGCGTTTTCAAGTACTCAATGGCTTCATCAAGCATGGAAGCTTTGTCCACCTAGTAATTTCATTACAGAATTTAGCTCAAGAATATAGCTAAGAAAATTTGAGTTGGGCTATTTTCAAGAATTCAACTTCCATATCCCTTTTCTTAGAACTTGTTTAAATTAAAATACGCAAGTCTCAGTGAAGTTTAAAATCTCAATTGATCAAGCAACAAATAGACGGCAAGAGAGTATAAATAGGCCAACCTTATTACAGTTTGGTATGAGTTCTTGCAGAGCACGCATCTTCTCATTGATCCTATCTCTACGTCGCTGTTGCGGAAGTTAAATAAGAATGAGTCCACTTGGGAAAAGAAAAGGGTGCCAAATTTTGTATATGATGGAAAAAATGAAGTTTGCATATCATCAGGACTCACTCTTTCTGATAAATTATGCACTTCCGCAGCCCTGCTTCTTTTGGACCCAGTCCCTCGAGCAGGATTCGCTCTCTTCACATCATTACATTCTTCTTCTACATCCTGCACTTGATAAGGCTTTTCATTTATCTATTTGGAAAGTGATCAAGGCACACAAGGTAAGATAAGGGTACAATTTGGTACTCACATCACTATGCCATTCAGAATCCTCAGTGTCATGACATTTTCTCTTCCTATTACGTGTCGGATCATCAGAAGCTCCCTCAACACTATTGCGTGAACAAACAGAAGCAGCAATTACAGATTCAGCAGCCTTCTCACCATCTGGAAATCCTGTAGTTGCACCTACTTCAAGACACTGTTTGGGGTGGTCATCATTTTTGGATGAGTCTCCCAAACAAGCAACCTCAGGTTGTTTCACAGCCTGTAATTGCTCGGGAGGTTTGGCATCTGATGGATTATTATCATCTATGGAAGGTACTACAGCATTTTTACAGAATGAATTTGATTCCTTTCTCAAACTACCTCGTGTCGCAATTAATGATGCTTCAGGGGGTTGACTACTAGCTGCTGAACAGTCCTTATCCATGCTGCGCATACTAGACAAACCCACAGTTCCAGTCACACCATGGTTCTGAAGATTAGATTTGAGAAGAGCAGCAGGCCGCAGAAAATGGGAAAAATTGATGAAATTGGATGAATTACTCGGAGGATTTGGATCTAGCTTTTGCCTCATTGTGCTTGAAGAACTGCTTGTAACCAATGGAACCTGAGGAGATTGGCCCATAAGAGAATCCTGAACAAGCTTGTCCGTAGTATTTTCTCTGCCGCTTGCACTTTTCGTTCGGAGATGTGGGATCGATGTCTGGCTTTGCTGCGATGCCGACGAATGTAATTGATTCGTGCTACTTCGTTGAGGTCTATCAGTCGAAGCATCTAACGAAGAAAGCTTGGAAATGTTGCCATCTTCTAGACTAGCACCACGTAAAGAATTGACGTGTGTATCTCGATTTACCTGATTACCACCACTGCCTCTCCCTATAGAAGATGCAACGCTATTTCGTGAGGGGAGGTCATTAACAGTGACCCCAGATAATTCAGGTAAGAAATCAGAAGAATACTCATGCTGCAGATGTCCATCAAGAGGATAGTTCAGCCAAGGCACCATATCATCATCGTCGTCGTCATGAGTCAATTCGACATCGGGTGAAGGTGCGGTCCCTATAACATCTCTTACTACAGAATCAATAGCACCAAACTTACCCATTCTTGCATTGCTGAAATGTCCTGTATCTCTATGTCTATCCCTGGGACTATGAGACGGTAAACACTGAGACTGTAAAGTGTTCGAATTCGAGTTCTTCCTTGTCCTACTGGACTGACCTTGCAGCGAAATTTGGCCATTATCCCACACTAGTTCAAAAACATCATTCTCAGGACTGCATTTGAAACCCCCACGGGAAAAAAGAAGAAGCTACAGTAATTAGAAATTAGAACAAACAACCAGAGAAGAAAACCCAAAAAGAATCTCAACAAACAAAGCAAAAGGAAGGATGATCATTAAGATCCACAAGTCAGACTTACTTCAGAGACAAATCCGCAGAAACCGTATTGTTCTTATCTTGAGTCGAATCAAGCTTCCCTCTGGCCACTCGATAAAGCTCGGACAAAGGCATGGCGGAAAGTGGAAAACTGTTGCCTCTTTACTGGGAAATACTTCACGTTTAAATTCCTCGAGCTAAATCCAAAATGATATAATAAGACGAACCCAGTAGAACTAAAAGGGGATTGATTAGATTACCTATAGAAGATCAAAGTGTATTACAATAAAACCAACGTCCCTATCGGTGGAGTCAAATAGAGCTCGAGGAAAATATATTTAAACTACTCAAAAGGGTTATTAAATTAAATAAAGCAAGAGACAAAGCCAAAGTAATTGTTTAATGAATCTCAGTCAGAGCAGAGACATCCAAATCCGCAATTAAGCTCGCATTAATATAAAAAAACTCGAGTGCTTCTCCGAATTTCTTTATTCAAAAACTCGAATCTGACAGATCCCAGATGACATATTTTAAACTGCCAGAAGAATTGGAGAAGAAGGGCAATTACTTGGAGAAAAACGACGGGCTTGACAATTGACATCCAGCAAAAAGCGCACCCAGATGAGAATCGTGAGGAAAATCGGCGGCTAAACGAGCGGAGAAGAAACAAAAACGAGAGGGAAAAGTGAGATCCTCGAAGCAGCAGCCCAAGAACACCAATCCACACGCATTGAAAATGCAAATTCTGGGGCCAGAAGTAGAGGAAAAGAATGACCCAGAAAGCCGTACTTTGGCTACACTATTAAGAGCGAGCGAGAGAGAGAGAAAACAAATTCCCTCAAGTGGACATGGAAGAGTGCAAAACCCAAATCTTAGATTAAGAGAAAACCCTTATAAATCTCAGTCTATACAAATTTGATTGAAGTGGGTCCACCATGAAACCTTTGATTGAGATGAAATGGTCCACCTCCCGCCACCGCCACCGCACCGCTCTTCTATTTCGGAATCTGTAAAAGACGGCGGCTGAGTACAGTGCGCCACCGTTGATCAACCATTCGCTGCAACTAACAGAATGATGGGTTGGATTTTGGAGAAATTTAGGAAGAAGGGTCGTTCTTGTTCTTCTTTTTGTTGGTTCTTCCTATAGTTGGTCGCTGAGATTGAGACAAAAACCAGTATTGATTGAAGGAGATGGGTGTGCTGTAGAGCGTGTATTGGGTTGCTTCGGCTCCATATTCTTATCTGGGTGCCATCTTTTTGTTCTGTTTCTTGTTTGTTTCCGCTCGCTCTCTCTGATTTGGTTGCATTGCAATGTGATGCCATACATGTATTGGGCGCCATCCTATTCCGAGAATATGGATAAAGATATTAAAAAGATTCGTTTTTATTTTCCTTTGATTTCCAAAGGTTTATTTTGATACTACGATTTCAACATTGTCAGTTCGGGTAGATGTCAATTATTGTCGGCTCAAATTGGTTAGATTTATTTTGATATTTAAATTTGAAAGAGTAATCGATTTAATTCTTACTATTTTATTTTGTCACTTAATAACCGTTCATCTTCGACTTGAGTACATGTTTACGAGCAAACTTGAGAGTAGACAAGATAATGATCGAAGGAGTTTTTACCCTCTTAAAAATTAAAATAGTAGTTTTGAAAATTCAAATAAACCAAAATGGAAGAGGGAAAAACAGTTCAATTACCAAAATGAACATTTTGAATGTTCATTGAACCATAATAGAACAAAACTAAAACTTTCGGACTATAATAGTTTCTAAGCCTATTAGAAATATTTAGGTTTAAATCCATTTTGGTCCCTGAGTTTTCGCGATCACTTTTAAATTTTGGTCTTCAACGTTAAAGATTATTCTATTTTAGTGCTTGAATTTTCAAGCTTGCCTCAGTTTCGGTCCCGCGGTTTTGGAATGTTCTATTTGAGAGGGATGGATTTGTCATGGTGTGCTTTTGGGGTGCGAGGTTGTGGAAAAGGGGAGTTCATGAGGTAAAAGAATCAAGTGGGGGAATTGGTATGGGGTGATGAAGTTCACGTGGGAGGCTTGCTTTGGAGATGTTGTGTGCCCTTCACACCTTCAGACACCTGCGGGCCTCCTCCCTTCCTTTATCCTTATTCAACTTCTGACTTTCCATTCTCAATCACACATGTGGCTTCTCCTCAATTAATGTAGCTTTGAGTGTGTTTTTAGACAAAGTGTTTTGTGGTCTACCACTTTACAGGTGGTTTCTCGCAACTACTGCGACATCTACTAGAGAGGAGGGTACATGAATGAACTGACACCGTACCACATCTGAATGAGAAGATTTTGAGATCAGAATATTTAAAAGAATTGATAGTAACTACCATATACCACCTTATTTTTTTGTGGTCTGCCACTTTACAAGTGGTTTCTCGCAACGACTGCGACATCTAAGTAGAGAAGAGGGTATATGAATGAACCATCACATCTGAATGAGATGGATCTTGAGACCATGCAAACATGAGTAAGAAAGACTTAAAAGAATTGATATAGCAACTACATATACCAACAAAGTGCACCTTCCTTTTCGGTGATTCAATCGTAAGAACTTCAAAATTAAGCATGTGAGACTTTCTTAGAAAGCATACGAGTGAGAACAAAGTATGTTACGGTCATCGTATTTGTTGAGCATTGCAAACCCTATGTCATGCCATCAGGACTCTTCTAACGATGTCAAAAAACACCCCCAAAACTAGTAGAATTGAACTACTCAATTTAAAAGCTTTGGTCACCTCTAAATTCAACAATAAAATATATAGTAAGGTTACAAAAGGGTATATTGGAAACCATTTAAAAATGTATTAGTAATGTGTTAGATGCAATGGGTATGGGGAAAGGATTAAGGATAATATAAAGTAGAAGGAGGGGCTGCATCTCTTCCCCACCACAAGATAGAGATGTTGGACTAACCAGTCATTAAAATATATGGGGATTCTTAATTTCAATGTGGGCCATCTTTTTAACGCTAGTCGTCGTTAGCCAACCCAAACATAGCACATAAATAATCGTCTCTTCAAAAATTGGAATCTTCAATTTTAACTCCCTTGTTAAACTCGAGAATGAAGTCTTTACCATTAGATTAGAATAAATCTTAAATTCAAGTCTTTACCATGTTATCTATCGGTTAAAAAATTCATAATACCAAGAGTCAAAATGTTTAGAAACTAAAATATAGAATAATTATGAAAGTTCACCGCTAAAATAGGATGTAACCCAAAAGTTTAAGCTCGGTTTGAATAACCATTTTGTTTTAAGTTTTATGTTTTAAAAATTATGCTCGTCTTCACACCAACTTTTCAGTATATTTTTCACTTTCTTAAAACCGTGTTTAAGTTCTTATCCAAATTTTAAAAACAAAATCAAATTTTTAAAAGATACTATTTTTTTTTCAAAGCTTGAAGTAGACTTTGAAAACATTTAAAAGGATAAAATAAAATAACAAACAAATAGACACGTACGCCCTAATAGTAATTATAATATCAATTTTCGAAAACAACCAATAAACGTAATGATTATCAAATGAAATCTTACCATTTTCAATTCACTAATTTAACAGCTCTTACGGTAAATTCATTGAGATTCGCAGTGCATTTCCATCGACATATCCATGTTTTCATAGGTTCGACATCGATATGAGGAGTAAATCGGCATTTTCATCATAGTAACAAAAAATCGACAAAATATAAAAAATATCCACAAAATGTCACTAATATATACATAATATTAATATTAATTATTTTTAACTAATTTAGAAATAGATTAATGTTTATGTGTTAATTTAAATATTTTTTAAGATTTTTAAAATTTTTCTAACTTTTACATAAGTATCCATCAACATCGATATTTTATCGATATTTTAATTGATATTTCTACGAAATTAAGATCTCGATATTTTGGTTGACACCAACATCTAAAACCTCGCACTTTTTTATCAACCATTGTATAGTTGGGTGGTAAAATCATTTTTGGCTGCACATAAATAAAGAATAAAACATATGGGCACATAAATACACATATTTATTCTATAGTTGTGCCCATAAAAACTTGAGGAGAATTTCAACGTTGCTTATAATAATATATTCATCTCTTTCTGTAATGGAACTGCCCATACTCATACATGCACATAAAATATGTGTCAATTTTAGTACCTAGCTAAGTTAACTTTGGAAGTTTCTATTGGAGTCCCAATCTATAGAAAATTAAAAGTTAAATTATAGATTCCGTCCCCCTAAATTTTTAAGACGGTATTTTATTTAGTCTGTGTACTTTAAAAGTTTTTAATGAGTTTTCAAACTTTCTTCGGATGAGTTTAATACTTGTATGGCATGTTGGATATATTATTTAAGCTTTACATGGTAAGGTGATTTTTTCACTTTCAATAATGTAATTGTTGAACTGGTAAAGTTAACACACGATAATCTATACACAAAAGTTAGAAGTTTATGGGTCTATTAGAATCTAAAAGTATAAGGGATTAGAAAAACGTAGTCTTGAAAATACAGCGACCTATCAGTCGTTGGATAAAGGTTAGGAGGATAATTAATTTTAAAGATATTATGACACTAAGATTTCTAAAGTCTAGCCCGTACTCGTCATATTCGGCTTCCTGAGTGACAAAACATGTAGAAGTAGATGGACTTAGTGAGCGGGTGGATGTATTGTTAACTTTTTAAAATATAAGAGACAAAATAAACACAATTCTAAAAGTTTAATAACCAAACTTATAATTTAAAAGTTAACTATTTTAAGCCTTTACTTGATAATCGTTTTTGTTTTTAGTTTTGGTTTTATATTTTCCAAAAAACTTATAAAATCTACTTAACCTACCTCTTTCTTAATTTGTTATCTAAAATCTAAGAGAAATTTTTAAAATAAAAAAAATTAATAATTTTGATTTTTTTAAATCTAGCTAAAACTTCCTACGTATTTTTAGGAAATACGAAGAACACACCTAAAGAAAAACAAGAAAGAAATTTAAAAACAAAATCGTCATCAAACCAGACATTAATTATTGCTACTATTCGTGTCACCTAATATCCATCCCGATATTCACCTCACCAACTTATGTAGTTACGTCTCGATACACGCTACATTTAATATTCTAATGTTAGAATAACAGCTAGCATGGTAGTGTGCAAAGACATGCCATGTGGGGGAGAAACTTTGATCAACAGTCTCCAAATTATGCATCTTAATTTGCACACAAATTTCCAAGTGTTGTTATTCAGAGCAGCAGTGGAGCTCAGAGAATGAGAAAAAAATGCAGAAAGACCTGACTGAGGACACAATCATAAGTGGCAGTAAATACAATGATAGGTGGAGGGTGAGCATATTTAATTTGTATGCATCCATTTACTATTTTTTTTAAGTACAACCGTTTGGAGCAAGAGAATCGAACTCACAACTTTTTAGTTTGAGATATATGCGCTGTTCAGCTATGCTCGTTTTGCCATTTTCGTTGATTGTTTATTTTATAATAATAGCGTTTAAGAAGGATGTAGAATCCATAAATTAAAAGAATATATCAATTTATGATGTGCCAGATCGTGAATAAAAAGAGTAGCTACTACTGTAATATATATTATATTAGAAACTATTTTTTAGAGTTTGGGTTTTACCGGCCAATTTCATATTATCATGACGTTTGTGGTCCATCAATATCGAACACTCTAGATCTTTTTAAGTTTAATGTCTAGAACTCACCAATATCACATATTCTCTCTCACACCGATMGAGATGTCCATTTAGAAAATTAAAAAATAAACGAAGAGGAAATAGATCCCTACTTCGATTCTTRCAAAATTTCGTAGAGAATTCCATGAGGATGGAAGTTAAACAAGGGGCCGGGATGAGAATAGGGAAGCATTTCCCGTCCCCGCCCTGTAAACACCCTTATACTTGGATCTTGGTGTCTGAACTAGCTTCCATGATTTCTTTTTTTTATCCCTTTTAGTTTTGAAATTCTGATTTTATTCTGTTTTGATTTTTGAACTTCCAAGATACTTACTTTAGTCCATAAACTTTTTATAAAAAAAATCATTTTGATCCTTATTTTTATTTTACTTTTAATAAATATAGATAAGGTAACTTCGAGKATGAGTATTGAAGTGCTGATATAAACCTACATTAAAGCCACATAAGTTAATTGAGGCAAATATTGGACGAGTAAATACTCGACAGCAAAATAAGAATAATGACTAAAATAATTTTTTTAAATTAAAGTACTAAAATAGACATTTTGAAAGGTCAAGGATCAAAATCTAGTGACCAAATTTTTTTTTTTAATACAACATGTAATTGTGAAATTCGAACTTCACGACCTTTTAGTCAGAGATAAGTATGTTAACCAATTGGAGCTAAATTTAGATACCAAAATTAGACATTTATAAAAAGTTCAATCACCAAAGTAAAAAAGGGAAAAATGTTTAAAATTGAAGATGTAAAGTGGGATTTATACCTTTTTTCCATTTTTCTAAGTGAGTGGTGGGTTTAGTGCAATGGAAGCATGCTAGTAGATGATCTTCATCCCATAAATATCACARCTTCCCTCTCTCTCTCAATGTGACATGTCCACCCACCATCACCATTTATTGACTTGACTTCACCATGAATACACAAATTCCTTTACCATCGTTTAAAGTTGCATATTCAAATCTCCACTCTAAATTGATTGGACTCAAAATAATAAATAAAAGAAAAATACTTCGTTGCCAGTTGACAAAAGTGATTTATCAAAGAAATATGAATGAGAAGCTTTTTGCTTATTAATAGTTGTTAAAAGAAGAAAACTACTAACCAGAGTTGTGTTTTCAGATATGTGTTTGATAGCAGATTTGATAATTGAATCTCAATTTAAAAAATTGTTCGAGGTGTGTTTAGAAATATATTTTTAAACTAGGAATAGTTGCAAACAAAATTTTAGTTTAATCTAAACTTATATTAATTAATTTATTAACATTTTTTTCAATGAATTTTGTATAATTGTTATTTTACCAGGTTATATAATTTAGAATACATTATATTTTACATGTTTCCAAAATCCTGCCAAACGCGTATTCGCTGGATCCAGGCACTTATTTCTTTCTATAAAAAAAAAATATATCTACCTTTCTGCGATCCTCCCTCGTACCTAGTCAATAAGGAAGTATTATCCAAAATTGTGGTACCAAATCATTTCGATGCGAAGCAACCTCGGTCGGTATACAAACAAGAGAATCTAGCTGTTTAGATGAAAAAAGCAGTTTGATGTTGAAGTATCCTATACTTGTCAATATCATGGTAAAGAAAGAAATCAAGTTGTCCACAAGATTTCTTGAGCTGGCCAAAGATGATCACTGTCAACTTCTTTTAGATTTCAAGAGAAAATCTAAGGTGTTAAAAGGCCCTACTACTTTGGCTCATGAAAAGTTTCTTTTATGGCTTAACAATAAGATTTGGTCCGTACTTTCAAAACATTTAGACATTTATACATTTATTTTGGTTCACGTACTTTCAACTTTAGTTCATTATAGTCCTTGTACTTCCAAAACGACTCCATATTTTTTAAAAGTAACCATTTTGGTTATTACTTGCAAAAGTTTAACGTAAATTTATATACAAAATAATCCGTTTTTAAAAGTACAAAAATCAAAACAAACGTTTTGAAAGTACATGGATTGCAATAAACCGAAAAAGAAACAACACTTTCAACCATAGTCCTCTTTGACATGCTTTTCGAGATGGATCTTAAAATACTCTCTCCTTAGTGTAAAGTTACTTTTATCTTTTTCTAGTTTGAATAGTCTTTCCGCTTCCAAAAAGCTATTTTGATAGCTTGGACTTTTCTTGGTATCCCTTCGTTTATATATTTCATATTATCAATGAAATATTGCTTCTATCATATATATATATATAATCAGAAAAAAATGTCCCTTTTGCTGCCCAAAGTTGGAAAGAAAACGTTACATACTAATGGTGTGGGGTAAAAAACTAATCCACATCATGTTCTTGGCAGCCTGCAATTATAGGAATACTATGAAATACTAGATTGTCCTGTTGAATAATAATACTTAATTTGACTATAGTTTCATTTTTATTTGTAAACTTGAGGCAATTTAGACATGAAGACTATCTAGAAAGAAATAAACAAAATCTACTGGGAGACATTTCTACACCACCTCAATTTATAGACATTCTGAGGTTATCCATTCCATACAAATTTGGAGACATAGCTCTACACCTCTTGAAACAAGGCAATTTTCATTGGATGAATAAAATATACAGAAGAGAAACCCAAGCCAGAGAATCATGAAAATAAAAATAAAAAGAGCTTTCCAGTTCAGGAAATGTTATAATAACAAAAAGATCTTGAAAGAGGGAGAGCAAGTGGAGGTTGTACTTACAATACAATTTTACTTCTCATGTTTGACTCATAAATTTCATCAAGTATGAGTCCAAAGTACAAAATTCACCAAATTTTCAAAACTAAAGCAACTTGAGGCACAAAATATCAAGTGTAAATGAGTTTGTCTCATTTGCACATGTAAAGCTATCATTTCATCCACCTAAAAAGATGTAAAAAGAATTATTAATTACGTGGCATTACCAAGCCCTCCTAAATTAAGTAAATGACAATATTCTTTTTTTTAGAAGCTGCATTCATTCGGAACTTCAGTTTATATCTTTCTAAAAAAAAGTTTATGTCTTTCTAGATATAGTTCTTGTCTTCAAGTTCTTTATATTGGGAGGAGGAGGAGAAGAAGAAGTACAATGTGAAATTGAAACGTATCAAGCTTGATGCGGACTCCAATTATCAAAGAAAGCAGAAAATTTTAATAAGAAAACAAGAAGACAACCTGATAAGGTGAGCCTTTCCTTCTACTGCACCTTTTTCTTATCTCTTCCTTCTTGAATCCTTCGTTTATCTGGCTAATTTTGGCGTCTAAAATCCAACTTCTGATACAGTTAAATGAAGCTCAAAACTCTCAATTTTTAGCTACAAATGAGTCTTAAGCAAGAACTTGTTGGAAGCAAACTCCATAGCCAAGAACATATATTTAAACTGCAAATACGAGTCCAGACACTGCTCATAAAAGTTGTCAATAGGCATAAACATGCATTACAGCAAGTTCACTAACCTTTAAACTGCAAATATGAGTCCGGACAAATAAGTAGAAAAGAAAAGTATTGACAGAATTATTTTGCACCGGAACCTACTGAAGCACCCAGATAATTCTTACTACATCTTCAATTTTTGCTAATGCACCCATGATGTCTCTAAATATTATTGTTATGATAAAGAAAAACGTCCAAATTTTCATAATAAATCATTTGTAGCAAGATAGTGCTATTCTAAATCATAACATACAATAAATTCAAATCCTTATTCCTCGTAGTGCCACAGCACTGTAAGTAATAATTTCCCATCCAATTCCTAGGCCAAAAGGAGAAGTTACAATGCAACCACAAGAACAGAAGCTTGATTTATAATATCAAGAGGTATCAAAACAAACCTCTCATTTGTGTCATGGCCACGTTTTCAATATTATTCAATTCTTTTGCTATGCCATTCAACCTCCTATCGTGTATTGCAGTCAAATTTCTTAAATTTGCAAGCATTTTGAAACTAAGATGATCACATTATTCCAAGCCACAAATTTTTACATGGAACAATTCATGCTAATAGTCTAATCCAAAAGGGTAGTTACTGAATGATAAAGATGCCATTTCTGAAGAGACCAATCCAAGAATATGAACTGTTTCACTCACATAAACATTGTAGAGAAATTTTACAAATTTTCATTACAGAAACTTAGTCAATCCAACATATCAAAAATAATCAACTACTTTTACAAAAATAAAGAAGAGAAACTTCCCTCAAATGTCCCTCAAATGAGGGTTACGCCTCATGCCGCCTCGAGACCTATGTCTCGCCTCTACCTGAGAAAAAGCCTGGAGACCATCTTAAGCCTTGTAAAATATTGACAAAGAGATGTGATATGCTCTCTTTCGTTATGAAAATACTGATTAAACTTGGGAACTATAATTTTGTTGGTACCTCTGCAATCTAGCAATGTGGTTGTTGGGATAACTGCTCAGTGTGTGTTTGTATGAAAGAAAATTGCCTCAGAGTAATAGATACTACTGTGGAAATAATTATTGTAATGTCTGAATCTGCTCTTGTCTCTCATACACACGTATGTGATACAGCCAACTCACAACTTTTCATGATATTGAGGTCTCAATATTTAGTCAGCTAATGCAATGTGAAAATTTATCGATGGACCATAACATTCTGATCATTGTTTAGAATGTATATATATTTTTACTCAGTGTATCGAGCAATTAATTTTTACTCATGGCTACTATTGAGACAAATTAAAGTTTGTCAAATGGGGCCCTATCTTCGTAACATTTTTTTTTTTTAATATCCGTGTGTTCGGACCAGCTTGCGCGCAACTCGACTATTCACGAACCAACCACCTAACCCTACTACATTTGGTTGACAAGGTAACTCGTAGGATATTAAATCCTAGGTAGGTAGCCACCATGGATTGAACTCATTCCCTCTAAGCCCTTTGCTATTTACATTGGCTCATTGACCACTAGCCCATCCCATGATGGTTTCGTAACATTATATATGTACTTTTCTTGTGGCATTGGATGTTTTCTCTCTTCCCAGCTTTTAAGTTTCAATATATTCCTGCTCAGGCTAAAAAATGGAATAGTCACCTTATTTTATCTTTTAAGTTTTAAATTTAAACCATCACATTTACATTGGTTTCTTATTCATTTAAAAGTATTGGTCTCATTTAAATTCTTGTTCTAGTACCGCTAATTTGACAAAACTTTGTATATTTAGTTGTAACATTGTCTTGGCAAATAGTTTGCCAGCAATTCCGGAAGAGTGAAGCCCCAAGGACCTCATCTAAGAAAGGATAGTATCCCACTCCTAATGGAAGATGGAATGAGATAAGTGATTGCTAGAGCAGGATCCCTTTTTCTCAAAGCAATTCTATCTATTAGTATTGGGACAAGGGAAGGTATTCTATATTCTAGTAGAAAGAACAATGCTCTCATATGTTTACCTGCTTTCAAAAGTTGGTTCCTAATCTTTTTTCTTTTTAAAGCTTGCTTATTTTCCTTCATTTTATTGCTATTCCTTTTACTTGTAGTCTTCCCTTATTTCCTCACTATGGGTATTTGGTAATAATGTTGTTATTAGAAATAATGAAATATCGTACAATCTTAAGCTTATATGCCATGGGAGATTATTATTAGTCTTCCCAATTTGTTGAAATGATAAATAGTTGTAATGGAGGAATTACGAAATAAGAGTAGTCAATAACTTTTGGCTACATCCATATCAAAAGAAACTTACCACTAGATTAAATTGTAATAGACGTACAACAAGTGGCCTCTGCTCAGGTGGAGAATTATGAAGATATGCAGGAGAGCCTGCAATGTATCCTGTGAACATCATTCAGCAAGCTACTTAAAAATAAAGTAACATCTTTTCCCCTGCAGCAACGAAAAAGATGACATTATTCACAAGAACTTCCAAAAACTTATACATTTTTTCCTAAAAAATAAATAAAATCGAGCTTCCATTGAGATAAAATGAAAGAATATATAAGGGGCATACATACAAAAAACAAGCCCGACAAAAAGGGACCAGCCGATAAGAGGGGACTCCAATCCAAGAGAATAACATCTAACTTATAAT